GAGACCGCAGCTATGGCGATCAATCGGAGGTGCGAACTGTCAGTGGAAGTCGGGAGACGGTCAATTCAGTCGTGAGCTAATGACTTCACGACGCTCGCGCGGTGGGCCTTTGTTTAACCATCCATAAGTTGCAGATGGGCCCAGGTAGCTGATAAGAACAGAGTGCTAGGCATCAGTCGTCCTAACGGGGCCTCACTCGCGGCGCAGAACAAGTACAGGACAATAGAACGCGCCTCGTCCCGCTTCAGTAAGGGGCCTGTCTCCCTTCGTACTAGGAATTTCTCCATCCATCAGTCTTTAATTTGTCATAACATCCACCCCCAAAGGCGTCAAATGATGAGTGCGCCAATTATAGCAAAACTCATAAATGACACCCTAATGTATGCCAGGATATTGCACTTGCTCACTCTCCTGAAAGAAACAATTTTTGGAAGCAAATCCAAAAGGACTGAGAGTGATGAGATCTGCTTTGACCTCTGAGGTGTGGCAAGCTTTTTGTTCCCGCAGTTTGTAAGCTTGAAAGGATTTTAGGCCAGTTCAGTGAATATTACGCATGGATACCATGCCCTTAGCGGAGCTCTTACTTCATTCAAGCATGACCAGTGCTAATTGTCAGACCTCGTATGTGATTAAGTCCAACTAGGTCACAATCCAAATAACGATTTCGGACAATAATGAGATTGAGGTCCAGGTTATTTCACAGAAATGATCGAAGCTGCTTCACAAAGGTGAGAATTTTTTGATTTTTGGGAGTAAGCGGAAATGACTTTGATAATCGGACCTTTCAATCTTTCCGGGATTTCATCAGGCCATATTGCCTTGTTGTAGTGATTGAATGAATATGCAAAAAGGTTCCAGCCTCGTCCACGACGCGCTAAAATGCCATCTACTGCTGGCACATTGAACATCACATCGCTTGATGACCTGAAAGGCTTTTTAATAGCGAGTAGAATGTTGCCGATTGCAGCACTCAGCATAAAACGGCCTACCTCAGTGTATCTGTCAAGATAAAAATCATATGCGTTTTCCTCATCTCTGTCAACATAGTGAGCAACAACTTCGTCAACTACCTTATCCCAATTTTCAGCGAAGAACTCGGGCCGAATCAGTTCCTATAAATAAACTCATTCAGTTTTGGGCACCAAGTAGCAATTCCGCTATAATTTCTTATTTATTTATTTATTTATTT